ATTATTATTATTATTATTATTATTATTATTATTATTTTGTGTTTTATACTAATTATTATGAAATTTTTTTACAGACTTCTGCACTGCAAGGGGTTTATGGCGCATTATCGGACATTCAACCATTACTGCCTCAAATCCCTCCAGAAGCGCAGACCGGCTTCCAACAGTCATACAACTTTGCCTTCTCTTCTCTGACTGTTGGGGGCCAGGGTGTTCCACATGGGGGGCCGTCCAGTCAAGTTTTCTCCCAGGACGATTACATGGCTCCCATGAGGACACAGTCGCACACGGCCAGGCATCAACCCGCCCCCAACATTGGTGGTGGTAGACGACCTCGGGCCCGTCCCCGCACTCAGCCGTCAGCCCAGCACATCCAACCTGAGCAGCCCGAGCCTGAACAAGGTGAGATTTTTATATTAACAATTTCTTTTTTTTTTTTTCTTTTTTTTACAATCCACTTTATGATTTCTTTTTATTTAATTGAACTATTCAGATGAAGAAGATGAAATTGAGCAAGCTTTTCAAACTGACACAATTCTTACACCTCGACCTTCGTCTTCTGCTCAAATCGTATATACTCGGAGGACTTCCAGACCGCACAAGCCTACAAAACCATACACTCCTTCTTAGTTAGTAGTGTTGAATTCGTGGAATTGTGTTTATTTTGGATTTTTGGATTGTTTGCATAAACTGAATATTTCGTTTTGTATATATTGTTTGTTCGACAAATTATTGTGTTTCATTTGTTTGTTTATATAATATGTTGGATTATTATTGGGCGAATATGTTGATATTAGTTGATCGAACAGGTGTATTTGGTTGTGAACAGGTATATTTAGGGTTTTGAGGCAAAATTAGGGCACCAAAAATCAATTTGGGGTAAAATTACATATAAAACGTATTTATGCAATACGGTTTAAATTTCGAAATTATTTTTCTTTTATAAAACGTATTACGTAAATACGTTATTGAATAAAAAATATGAAAACGTATTCAGTTAATACGTTTTAAATTTTTTAGATTATAAAACGTATTCTACTAATACGTTCTATAATAAAAAATATATATACACCTAATTTTAAATTAAAAACGTATTTACGTAATACGTTTTAATTTTTTTCGATTATAACACGTATTTCATTAATACGTTTTACAATTAAAAATATATATACACCTATTTTTAAATTGAAAACGTATTTGCGTAATACGTTCTCATTTTTTTTCGGCATAAAACGTATTATGGTAATACGGTTTATTTTGTTTTAGTTAAGTTAATTACGTTACTTAAGTTAACAAATTATTTTTTTGCAAAACGTATGACGTAAATACGTTTTATTTATAAAGACGTATTAGCTGAATACGGTTTATAATTGAAAACGTATTCTTTTAATACGTGCTTTTTATTTTGGTCGAGAATATTTGTTTTTTTCATTATTTCATTTTATTAAATGAATGATCGAGACTAATTGGCTTCGAAAGTAGAATGAAGATCCAACTAACCTGAAATGAATTCATTTAATTAATTGTGACATTTAGAAGTCCTTCACTCCCAAAATCACTTTGAACCGTATTTGTCATCTTCAGTTTCCGTCTCGTCCAACGCTTTTCCCTAATAGTTCATAATTGGATACACAGCAGTTTTCTTCTAAGCAATTTTTTTTTTTTTTTTCTTCTCTACTTCTTCAAAGTTTTCAATTTAGATTTAAATTGCGTTGTGCTTTATTGTTTAACTTTCTGTTCTAAGTATGTGTACTCTCAAATCATTTTCTTCTCAATGTAATGTTCGTGAATTATTCATCCGTGTGCCACTTGGTTCACAATTTTTGAAGTAATTTTAGAGTATATATATAACAATGACTCCTATTTGATATTGTTGGCTTCAAAACGATAGCCATCATCACTCCATGATTCATGCTTTTGTTAGATCACTTTGATCGTCTGGAGTCTGATTTGAAAATAGAGGAAATATTTTTCAATAATTATTTGAAAAATACATGACAACAAATTGGCCTTTGAAACTTTGACTGGTCGTGGCCAAGTCAGTTTCAACCCCTTTATTCGATTCTACAACAAGGGCAATGCCTCCATTTCCCAATTAAATAAATATCATGCACTCGTCAGTATTGGCCGCTCATGAAAATATAATTGAGGACAAAATATAAATGGATCGGCCGACTGAATAAAAACTATTACAGTGCTATTAGTATATGGTCGTCAACACCTGCTTATAAAGCACATCACTTGGGAAGAGAGAGAACCCACCAAATCCGAACATGAACAGTCACTTAAGGCAGCCATTGGTGTAGTAAAACGCAAAGCATGATACATAATGAAATGAATGTTATCAACCTGACTACATTTATCTTGTTTTTCTTGCCATAGATATTATTAACCTATAATCTACGTCTGGGCATCATCTGAACAACAACTGCATACCTGATTGCTCGAAAGTCATATGTTGGATCTTTAATAGATATGTTTTCAGGACAAATCACCTGCTCATGGTGGAGGACAAGTAAAAGTTCCAGAATACGGAGGCCATCGACATGAAGGCTACACGGGTTTGCAAAGGGACTGCCCTGTAAGTTGCATTACAATGCCATCTTAAACATTGCCAATCAAATTGAGGCGGTGCAAACTAAATCAAGTGAAACCATGCAAAAGAAATCATCTTACACTTTTTTTTTATGTTCTATATTATATAGGTTTGTATCCTCTTCTATACAATTATTTACACAACGGACTAATGTAATTAATCCAATTCTATTAGTTGGAATACTAATAGTTAACAAGCATTGTATTTAAGTATAAATTCATTTTTATCCGTGTGTTCTTCAGCAGTACAAATTCTTGAATCATGCCAAATAATACTTTGGAATTATGATTCTCCCTAATTTCAAGAGCACGCGCACACACACACACAGCTATTCCTGTTTCAGTAAGGAGTAGTACTACTTACTTTTTTTTATAATTTTTTTTTTCATTTCTCATTTCCCATTACCCAACCAACACACCAAGCACTCCCCTGAAGTCAGAATAAACAAAGCTAGCAATCAAAGTCCGTATAAACATTCACTAAAGTATGAAGTTTGTTTCCTGAATAGTATTTATTTTCACTCAGAAGTAGGAAAATCAGAATGCCTGATATGGAATGGGGCATTCCACCTCCACCTAGAAACAAGTATTACCTTCCAACATGACATTTAGAAAGAAATTGAAACTGAAATTACTTAAAAGGCTTGCTCCACTCATTTTTCTTATCTTCTTTTCTTCTTCCCTTTCTCTAGTGGTTGTTCTTTAGTTTTTAAGAGGTTTTAAGGTCTTTGGGTGAAGAAGGGGAGGTGTGGGAGAAGAGTAACATACCAAAAGTTCAATAAGCTTACTGGAATCCAGAACCGGAATCCTGCATGGGAATATATAATGATCGATAGAAGAAAAGCTCATACAAGCTAAAGTTGAACCAAATCTACCCAACAGTATGGATTATACCGTAAAAAAGCGTAGGGAGGGCGTCTTTTTGGTACTTGTTGGGAAGCTCAGCAAGTTTCCCAAGCCATAGATTATTCCACGCGAAAACAACACCAATTACAATTGGACCAAGTACAATTTGATTTAGTAAAACCTGCAACATGAGGGAGTTCGAAGAGGTCATTCAAATATTCCAGGATCCATTGTCTTAACAAACACCAAACAATAATGTACCTTTGTCATTAGGTTTGTAACATTTTTCTTTGGCATACAGTGATCAAGGTACCGATACCAAGCATATGAACCAGGGCCGTACAGCAGGAACCCATATGATGTCATACGGAGGGCTCTAGTCCAGTCATGTTCAGAAAAAAGTGAGCTTATGATATCCTACAAGAGGAGTTAAGACAAATTAAACCACACTGCTTGAAGAAGCAATTAATATTATAACCAATATGCAGGGTCCTAATTTAACAAACATTTACAAGTCTCTTCTTGAAAAATCTGTAGATATAGGGAGCATAGTGGAGAAAATATGTGGACATAAGGGAAAAAAAGGAGTGATAGATTAGTATAACGGATGGACCACCTTTCAGAAACATCAGGGTTGAGATTAAATTAAGTTATAATAGTAACATCTCTAGAAATCTGTACTCATAATTCACAAAACATCCGTGCTTTTATCTTTGTTATAATTATATACTTTGAACATAAAACCGACATATATTAATTTCCAAGTTACGATGTTACTAAGAGCCTCAATCATTTAGATTGGTTGCTCTTTCTGGTTAAAGTACTACGGATGAAAACACAAACAGTACCCAAAAAACCTCTCCATAACCCATTTGGTCACTGGGAGTACCTTCCGAAATCCGAAGTAAGGTTAAAGAAGAGCATACGTTTTCAGGTAACTGAAATAGATACTAGTAAGCAGATAGTAAAGCTGCTGAGTAATACAATTTTCAGCATTTAGTATTTGGATTATAAAAAGATTTGTAGCGACCAAGCACTTTAAAATTCCAAAGCTACATCGTTCAATGTTGTTGCAGTAGAGGATGTGGAATCTTGAAAATTTAGGTTTCAAATGTAGTATAGAATGGATCCTAACTAGCGCCTACTGATAAGTTACAATGAAGGAAAACAGATGATTCAAATATCCGGCAGCACAAGTCAAAAGATAAAGTACAATTCCCATTGTATCAGCAACACTTGTCTATCAGCTCATAATCCAATTAAATGATGTTTACACAAAAAAAAATTAGCTCTCACTATGGCCCTGAAGATATTAACTGCAGTTTACCTTAATGTATTACAAAAACATATCCAGCCTACCATGAGTAGGTCTGCATTCAGTTAACTACAAACAACTAATATCTACAAATATGAATATAGTTCCTGTAGCATTTGCTGTACATCACACTCATAAGCAATTGCTTCAAGGATTAAGGCAAAAGTCATTGTCCAGTGCTAAATGCTTGTCTTAAATTGCAATCCAACACAAATATGAACCACCAGCCCACCCCCACACAAACACACAATGGCGATCTTTAAATTGTTTTTACCAACTACTGGAACTATGCAGGGACACATTTGGACTGGACCCAACTGCCAATAAAGTATTCCATCAAAATTTGTCACATGTGCACTTCAAACTAAACTCTGCATTAGTCTTCACTGCATAACATCAGAATCTCACAGAAGGGGGAAAAAAAAAGAAAGAAAGAAAAATGAAGAAAATCGAAACTGCCATATTTAGCAAGAACTCTGTTGAAATCCAAGTTTTTAATTAGCTAAAAGTCAACATATATTAAATTTAAATCTGCTATGCACAAAAACTGTAGCACATACAACACTACATGAATGTATAAAGTGCAATGAATTAAATTTGCAGTATTCTTATGATTTTGTAAAAACTGCAAAAAAATGGTGGCAAAGTACAAGAACTATAGCACACGTTGTGTGTGTGACAGTATTACGTGAAATATTTTTCTGATAGCAGGCTCCGGAGGGTAAAGTGTGAATCCCTCCTCGTTGGGCGATTATGTGTGAAAAAGAAAAGGAAGGCAAGTGTTTAAGTGTATTCTTTGGGAGGTTTTAATATTTTCCTACCAGCAAAGACAGACAATACTGGGACACCAAGAGGCAATGACCATGTGTTTCAACTAGATGCGGCTCATGTGTGACAATACTAGGACAACAAGAGACAATACTGGTAAACTTTGGCAATGAATCTCTCATGTGTTTCACCCCCAAATTCCCTGTTTCTTTGAGTAGATCAAGAATATATTTTCTTTGAGACGTAAAAATTCATTCCGCATGACTTCTACACCGAAAAATATTTCAAATGCCCCAAATCTTTTATCTGGAAATGGGCTTGAAGGAAACTTTTCAACTCTGAAATTCCCATATTGTCACTACCAATAATCACAATATCATCAACATAAACAATGAGTAGGATGACCCCGTTCTTCCTCATTAATAAAACCATGATGGAAAACATTTTTTATGACGAGCTGGTCGAGCGGCAAATGAGATGAAGCTGTCAATGGTATTAATAATTGGACTGAGGTAATCTTAGCGATAGGGGAAAAAGCCTCAGAGTAAACAGAGTACAGTAGGTTTGAGCATAACCTTTCGCTAAAAGATGTGCCTTTAGTCAATCCAAAGAACCATCCGGTTTAACCTTAACTGTGAATGCCAATTTATAACCAATGGCAGATTTGCCAACAGGTAAGTCCTAATGTCCAAGTGACATTGTGATCGACAGCATTCATTTTCTCAACTATGAACGCCCGCCAACCAGAATGTGCCAAAGCCTCACGGAAAAATTTAGGTAGAAAAATAGAGTTTGGCAATTAAGCTAGAAGAAGAGGCAGATAACCTATCATACGAAACAAATGAACCAATAGGATAGGTGCATGCACGTTTACCATTCCGAAGAGCTAAAGAAAGATCACCAAAGGAAGGATCTTGCACAAGAACATTAGGAGATGGTGGATCGTCTGACGTAGTAGCTGGTGGAGGCAATGCATCTGCAGATCTGCATTCTTGAGTGGGGTGCCCCACTTTTTGTGTAAGACGACTGAATACTTTTAGGCTGAAGAGTAATTCGGTTATGGAAGAGTGTTGAATGGAACATTAGCCTGGAAAGTAACATATGTGGGTACAATATATCAGTTTAGAGGAGGATAAAAGCATCGGGGAATGAATACTGAACAAAAATGCATTTTAAAGACTTTGGATCTAGCTTACTAATGTGGGGACATGTATCTTGAACAAAACATGTACTTCCAAAAACACGAGGAGTTGCAGAAATAGGAAGTTGATGGGGGAACAAGAATGAATAAGAGTTTCACCATGAAGTATAACTGAAGGCATACGATTAATCAAAAATCATTCAGTGGAACAATATCAGCCCAGTAATGGTTGGATACATGTAGGGCTGTAAACAAGTCAAGTCGAGCTCAAGCCCTTAATGAGCTGAATTGAGCACGGCTTGTTAGCTAAACGAGCTAGTAATCGAGCTCAAGCTCGTCTCATTAATCCAAATAAACGAGTCGAGTTCAAACTTTAACGAGCCGAACTCGAGCCTAAATGAGCTGAACTCAAGCCTAAATGAGCTGAACTATAGAAACTAACATAAATATCTTATTTTCGGGCATTAACGAGGTAAGCCGAGCCTGAAGCTTTTAGTGAGCTCAAGATTGGCTCATTTATCAAACGAGTCGAGCTCATGAGCTGCTCGTTGCATTTAACAACTCTAGGTACATGCATCTGAAACAACAGCGTTCGAGCAACCTCAAGGACGTACCTATTCTTCCGTGTGATTAGAGGGAGTGGAAAAGAGGCTTTGGTTACTTGTAATGCGCGTACGCACCAAAATCAATTACTCAATTTGTGCCCATAGAGAAGAGACACGTAGCAGACTTACGAATATCAGCAAATGCAACCGGTGTTGATAGTTTCACAGTCTCGGTAAGACGAGCATATTTCTCGGCTGATATAGTAACCGTCTGAGAGGACGAAACTATATGAGCAAAACTGGTTTTTCTCGGTCAGCTTCCGACAAGTGTGCTTAGTATGCCTACGTTCATTACAATAAAGGCATTGCATATTATTAATGTCCGAATTCGGATTACTGCAAATGGTTGCACCCTCTCCACGAGAGCCACCACGAAAACCCCCATGAGAGCCACCTCAAGAACCTCCGCGAAATCCTCCACGAACCACGACTCATAAGGGAACTGATAACCACAAAATGCTCCCGTTGTCGTTGCATCTCTTTGACATCTGCACTCAATGGAATGAAGTGAATTGTTTTTCATAAACTCTGTAGTTTGTTGAACTCCATAACGTAGGCCGTCAGAGTTTTGTCCTGTTATTAACCCCTATGAAAGGACTTACAAACCGAGTTAATGCAGGAGATGTTGCTACGGCCAGAATACAAGAAAGTCAAGTAACACATTAATTCATTGACCAATTCACAATGGTTGATTAATGAGAGTTCCCGGCTCAATAGAATTTCAAACTCATCCCAGAGCCACGCTCGTTTGGTGTCATCTGTAGAAGAATCCAAATCAAGGTGATCGTCCTCGTCAATGCTTCGCAAATGGACTGTAACAGTTTGACTCCAATCAACAAAATTAGAGCCATTAAGCTTAACATCGGTAATTTTGTTCACAATAGGAACAATTTCAAAAGCAACTTCAGTCTCCGCCATAAAATTTTTTGGCCAAAAAGTGACTGGAAATGAACAGTATGCCCAGAGAAACAACAAATACCAAAATGGACAAAACCACAGCAAATACCAAAACCGAATTGTCCAGTCTCTGAAACACGAAACTGAGAACAACAAACAGTCCAGATAATTCCGAGCAACCAGACGTCAGTCGGACAAAATTCCGGCGAGGCGTGAGCTTCCAAGTGGTGGCGCGTGAGACCTGCCGCAAAATCAGACGGCGTGTGTAGTTCACATGCGCGGAATCAGACCCTGAACTTTGCCGGAAGGTCGGTTTCCGAGTGGCGAGATAATCTGGACGGGAGGTGAGACTTGAAATCCGGCAAAATTAAATCCTAGGCAAGTGACATGTGAGGTTGTTTCTTGGAAAATAAAAATAAACTGAAACCCTAGACTATGAAGAGATCTATGGCTCTTGATACCATGTTATCAGATGAAATTTTGTATCTTCATAATAATCCAAGAAGTACAAAGAGCCATCTTTATATAAACAACAAAGAACTAAGATTTATATAAACAACTAAGAACTAAGGGAATAATCATCCTAAACAAATCTTCATCATACCTCTTAATTGTAGATCGTATAGTATATATTCTTTTAGATTATTCTATATTTACACAATATACACTAACAAAAGTAATTACAAGGTGCTCCCAGATCAAAGAGATCATAGCATCCCTCCTGACTAAGATCAAATATGTTAAGAAACAAACAGTCCATTCAAGTCACCCTTCAAATTTAGGAAACTACGTGGCCTTCCGTGTTTGTCTGGAATTGTGTCAATCAAATCCTCAACCAAAAAAAAAAAAAATAATCCTGGGTCTTTTGCCTTTCCTCTTGAAGAATAATACATGAACCAAGCGTCATCCATCAAAAAATACATTTTGTTTTGTACCAGTTTAGCAACACCCTGCTGTGCTCTAATGATTCAGAAAGTATAAACAACGAAGCCCACCCACTACCAATTTAACGAAACATATAACTACATTAAGCAGCACAAAGTTTTTTAACATATTTGTTACATTTGCACTTTAAGTATACATAAATTTAGTCCCATTTAATAATAGACATTCTCCAAAAGTTGTCCAACATAAGAAACATCAATGAGGAACTTAGATATTTTGTTTTGAAATATATGACCATAGAAAAAAATGATTGCTGATTCTGATTCACTAAAAACATACGGCAGTCACACACGCAAACGCGCGGCGCACACACAGACTCATAGAGAGGGATTGCGAATTTGCACAAAACCTTAAAATCCTCAGCAGAGGTAACAGAAGCTTTATGTTTGACCCATTTCTGGCGGACCTGGGCGATGGTGTCGCCGGCCAAGACGAGAGAAGCAGCGGTAGCGGATTCCTTAAGCGGAAAATTGTAAGGAGAATCGGCACCGGTGGTGGCTTGTCCGGCATTTTCCTTAGAGCTATTGGACGGTTTGCTGCCCTTGTCACGTCGCCGGTGAATGTTGCGGTGAAATGGGCCCATTCCCCATAAGCCTCCGCTTCCACTGGCGCCCAACGACCCCATTTCTGTCAAGTGTCAACACCACCACAAATTTGGGGAACAGAATGCTCTTGTTCCTTGTTGGCTTGTTTTAATGATTAAATTTACCACGTTTTTTGGTACTCTCTTAAGTGCCCCACTGGGAATGCCCAGTCGCTTTACGCCTAATGGTTTATTGGTATGTGATGTGAGAGGGTTCATCATAGATCGGTACGGTAAATCTCCGGAATCGTATAGAAATTCAAATATTAATTAATAAATTCAATCTCTAGAACCTAGGGTTAAGCATGAGATGAAATTAAGAACTCAGGATTAAGCATGAGACTAAAAAAATTTTGTGTGATTCAAGCTCAATCTCCGATCTGACCCAAGACCGACCCTTACGTATCCGACCCAGATCTCGAATTCGTCCAAAAAAAATAAAATGAAAACCGCTATTTTTTCTTGGGCCAGCTCAACCTAGCCCGGAATCGGCCCGACCCGACAGGTCATATCTTCAAAATGGCCGACCTTTGAATTGACCGCATTAAAATTCATGCTGGGCCCAGACCCGTTGACCACGGGCGGCCTGTGGCCATGTGTTACGGGATAACTTTGAGGCCCGGGACTTGGAACGATCCCTTGGCGTGTCAAGGTCCAAAAGACCCGAGCACAAACGTGCGAGGCGTCGACTAAGGGAAGGATGCGAGCTGGGAGCGTCCTTTTGGCTGAATGTTGGGTTCAACTAGATCTTCTTGGGGCGACGAAAACATATGTGCGATACTTAGCTATATGTGTCCAAGTGTTGGTCGGATCATGTTGGTTGGATAAGTCGAGGGCACGGTCGGACAAGTATTACCGCGGGTTGTGCATGCCTTGCGGGTATGTAGGCTTACTCGGGACGGTACGGTGCGAGGCAGCGTGGTGCTTCGCATATTTGTCGGGTAAGACGCGGGCAAAGGAGACGCCCAAGCGCACTGATGAACTCGGACGAGGGTCTTGGCTAATCTTACAAAACATGGCCGGACTTAGGCGGGTTCGGGCACTAGAGTGCTTCGGACAATGCATCTCGATGGGCACGAGTGCTGGCACCGCGTCTAAGTATTTGCGGGAACAGTTGGAATTTGAATATGTAGTTGGGCTACCCGTGAACTAGTTGGTTATTAATAGTACCACGTGGCCTAGGAGGGTTAATTCCTTCGACCGTTGCATGGCTGAATGAGGGCAGCGAGATGACACGTGTCTTGGCAGTTCCAAAGGACACATGGTACAACGGTCATTGACCCCTGCGTTGGACAATGATAAGCACGGTGGTTGGCGACCGTACGTTGCATAGGCTAAGTTACATCAGGATGATATGGGCACGTGTCAAGGAGAAGTTGAAGAGCACAACTCCTAAGCGGTTACCAAGCAGTTGGAGGGCTGCTGGATCCGAGGCCTATAAGTAGGCTGATGCGGGCATTTACGCAGGAAAAACGAGTGATATAGCGAAAACGAGTGTGATCAAGCGAGTGACCATGATATACATGTTAGAGTAGAATACCCGGCGTTCCAATCTGATTGGATATATTTCTACTTATAAAGACAATTTATTGGAAATTATATTATTCTGAGGCATAACTTTATCTTATGTATTTGCATTTATCTTATATTTGCACATATGATAAAGTCCTTAGATCATTATTAGCTTTAAGGCATGGTTGCACATTTGATGGCAATCATGGAACATGTCTTTAAAGCTGTGATCTTAAATAAGTTCCAAGTCGATAGGTGTTTCGAGATAGGACATCGAATAACTCGGTAAGACTTGTGCATATGATGTATGCTCATCGGATGAGAATGTTGCATTCCATCAACATTAGCGTGTCGACGAAAATGCATATATGCGGGTGCTTGTTGGAGAACAAGTTCACTGAACATGACCCGATGAAAATTCTTAACTGGAAGTTTTTAACTGTCGAATAAGAATTTTCATGTTGCAATAGTACATGACTGATCCTCTGACTTAAGGCACGATAGCAATCTTGTGCATGTTGTGCTTTACTTTGATTTATCCTTTGATTGTTGGACCATAAAAGAGATATTTTGGGTAATGTATCAATGTGTATGGAGGTTTATCTGTGGCCAACAAAGAATTCGACACTTATATATATATATATATATATATATATATATATATATATATATATAAGTGAATTTCCTATGTTTTTCAAAGTTTGTGATTCAAAGACCTTGGCCAAGGCGGGATGAATATGGATTCATAAAGGAATCACTAAACTTGAAATGGAATCATACTTATTAAATCAATTGGGTTTCGACTTATAAATCCATGCCCAAAATTTAATCGAGAAATTAGTTGTCGAAAGGATTTTACATGTATGCACTTGCAAGGTTTACTCGCTATTTCACTTAACACTAGATGATCATGCTACTTGCTAGGTGTTACCATGATTTGTGGGTTCTTGAAATTAAGGAGTTAATTTCAAGAATATAAATTAATTAGATTAATTTAAATTACAAACGAGTTGTAAACCCACTACTAGTGTTAATCGTGAACCTAAAAGGGTCACACCAAATTTTGGATGATGACAATTTTGAAATTAGTATTTTCAATAGTTGGATTAATTGACAAGACTTAATTAAATAATTTAATTATTTAATTAAATATAATTTTGATTAGATGTCAATTAAAGGAATAGTATAAATTAATCAATATGATTGATTAATTGAATTTTTGATATTAATTAAGTAATTATTGGAATTACTAGATTAATAGTTGGATTTTTAAAATTGAATTTTAAAATTCAAATCCAAATAATAATATGATTATAAAAAGAGGAGATTTTATTATATTGGGAGATAAAGATATTTTAACAAATAATATTGAAAATGTTTCATAAATTGTTTGTTATTATTAATCTTTAATTTAGATTAAAGATTAAATATTAATAAAAATAAAATAATTATGGTAGATGGGAGTTATTACCCACTTTACATATTTATTTTTATTTTTATTATTAATAAATTTTGGTAAGAATAGTCTTGCCAAGACTTCATTTTTATATGAAAATGGTTGTACCCAACATTACATTTTTTATTAGTATAAACATGTACATATGTGATGTATGAAAAAAGATGAATTGAAATCTTGCATTTTAATTAAAAGAAAGAGAATTGATGTCTTGCACTTTGAGAAAGTGAAGATAAGAAAATTTATCTATCATATCAAGAAATAAAATTAAATTCTCCTCTTTAATTAAATTCCTATACTAATTGTAAACCAAGAAATTTCTACTAGCGAAGAAATTGTTCTCAGAGTCAGAATCCAAATGGGTGAATTCGATTAGAGGGGAGACACTTGGATCCCTTATGGTGAGACACATGAAGACGGTGATAGCTACATAACCGGGAATTGATTTCCTCTTCATCGTCCCTATTTGAAGAAAATTAAAGGTAATTTTCGAAATTCTCTACAAATCAAAATTCGTATTTTTATGTGATTTTAAAAGATGCCGATCATTTTATTCACTATATGTACTTACGGATTAAGTATTTATTTAATAAGTGATAATTATTTTGTATAATTTTCACTGCGATTTTAATCCGTATGGTATAGCGAACCCAACAATACACATTTTGAGAACTCGGAAAGAGCATCTGTGCAAAGAGTGCTAACATGAGGGTGCAAGGCAAGGAAAAACAGATGAGCGAGCTAGTGTGCGAGCGAAATCTGTGTATTATATGCTAGTGGGTGCGTGAGTTGGCATACGCCAAAGTGTTATAGCGAACGTGTGTAAGTCCAATCTCTGTAAGGCCAGATTAGTATACGTGTATGTGTGCCTGCGAGCACAAAAGTGTGGGTGTTGCAAGTTGTAGGGTCTTCCATTGTACTTTGTGTTATAAGAGTGCATTGGTTGGGCGTGAGCCCGTAATATTGCGTGTCACTAATTTATTTGATTGCTTCCGCATGCGTCTGCGAGTGACGTGCTTGCATAACCTTGATTGATACTTGTATGAGCGAACAATCGAGGAACGATGAAAGGCTGACTGATCTGTGGGAATCAGGCCGCATAGGGTGCTAAGTGGGCAAAAAATTCTAGCCTCTATCTAGACCATGTGATAAGTGGTATCAGAGCCCATGTTGGGTCCTGATTGCTGATCGTGTTGGAACAATGGGCGATGCTATTTGTCCTAATCAACTTATGATGACCTTTGAAGCGCGGATACAGAGGCTGGAGGACATGATAGGGCGACCTCCTTAAACGCCCCTGAATGCAGCGGTCTTCGAACGACTACAAACAATGGACGATGCGCTTGTTGACTTAAGCACGAAGGTGGACGCAGTGAGGGTCTCGGTGGAGTCATTGCCCGAGTTCGTTGAAGTGCGGATGGATTCCATGCGAGACGAGTTCATGCTGCTGTCTGAAGCGGTTGAGTCCAAGATCACAAAGATCCAGAGCGATGTTGCCTTACTGAAGTGGGTGGGCGCGAGTGTGCTCACGGAGCAGTGCCAAGCCCCGTCCAAAGTCCGAATTCCAAATCCTAAGACGTTTGATGGTGCCCGAGATGCCAAGGAAGTCAAAAATTTCCTTTGGGACATAGAGCATATTTTCATGCAGCTAGGGTCCAGGACAACGAGAAAGTGTCAATTGCGAGTATGTTCTTGTCGGTGGATGCACAACTTTGGTGGCGTGCGCAAGCGTCTGATGACGTGAGTGCGAATTGAGAAGGTATCAAAACATGGGATTCATTGAAGAAGGAGTTGAGGGATCATTTCCTGCCTTGTAATACTGATTGGGTTGCAAGGGAAGCGCTAAGAAACCTGAAGCAAGATGGTGCAGTTCGTAAGTATGTCAAGGACTTCAGATCTTTTATTCTTGACATAAGTGAGATGTCGGAGCATGACAAGTTTTTCAATTGCATGGCTGGATTACAAAGATGGGCCCAAGCTGAGTTGCAGCGGCAAAGGGTGAGCGATCTACCTAGGGCAATGGCTGTCGTCGAGCGCCTTGTTGATTTCAAGGTGATTGGTGCCTCCAATTCGAGTGAACATGTGAAAGACTCGGGTAAGAAGGATGAGAAGTCCAAGAAGTTCAAAGGGGGAAAGCACCAGAAGAAGTCCGGCGAGGGGAGTAGTAGTACACCTCATGAGACGTCCAAACAACCAACGTTGGTGGACCGAAGTCGCGACTGCTTCTTGTGTGATGGTGACCACTTAA